GATACAAAATGATTTAGGTATCTCTTTTTTGACCTGCTTTTTGAAAAGTTTCTAGTAATATTCGATGAATAAAAGTAAATTTAATAAAAAGTATATATGTAGAACAGGGCAAGGCACAAAGGTCCAATTTGACTTTAAGCAAATATAAATTTTATTATGAAAATCAAACCAATTACATCACAACAAATGACACATTTCAAATGAACAATTATCTGACTACGTTCAGTAAAACTACCAGCTACTTCATCATTGTAAAAACGTGCTTTTTGCTGTCTTTAAAAAAAAATGTATCTAGACCTTTTTACCCTATAACGGGGTAACTTGGAACGGCCAGATGGCAAGCAGGTCTAATGTCATATTTTAATTTCAAAGGTATTTTACAAAATAATTACATTTTCAACTAATTGCTAGAAAACTACCAATGGAAGAAAATACTTTTACTATGGATTTTCAAAGATTACCATTTATCTCCCAATACCAAAGTCATAAGAATCAAGGTTATAGCTGATTATACATATTTTTCCCTTTACATTCAAATACTGCTGTTAAACAATGCTTAGCTTTACTGGTTTTTGACACTTCGGTCGTGGATCTTCATATATTACTATCCATTCTTGAATAAATTCAGAAAATTATAACTGGAAATAAGCTATTCGACAAAATGTTCCTTTGATGAATTCCAAATTTAGGTTCTAAATCTGAATAATCTAGAAAAGGTTTTATAAATACATAATTATACAAATAAGTTCTTTCAGAGCATTGTGTTTGAGAAAAATATGATTTGTCAACCATACTGAGTTATACATAGTTCGCTTCACTGTTTATACGAATGGGCAATGGCACTATCATTATATTATAATTGTTAATTATTTATTTAAAATAAATAATTTTATTATTAATTCCTTACAAATATTGAATTGTCATCCATGCGTGATTACATAGCTGTCATTTGCTTATTGTTATTCCAAGTCGAACAGGATAAAAGGTATCCTATGTCCTTCTCCTGGCTCTGAACCAACTTTTACCAACTTTACCAAAGCCAATTTTCAGTTAAATCGGTTCAGCCTTCTTGAGTTATAAGTTCTGACGATATAACTCCAGAATGCACAAACCGAATTCGACAATTTTGCATTCGCTGGAAAGGTTTGGGGCTCCGTGAGGTTTATAGCTGGGTTATAATATATGAGAACCAAAAACTAATATTCTATCACTATAGTTTACTTAAGGTAGTCGATTACTTCAATTAGACCTTTTTATTGTCGAATCAAAGCACATTTGCTGATAATATATATATATGCCAATTAGTTGTAAACACCTGAAACATTTTATAAGATATGTATAAAGAAATTACAAATTAACAACAATTAATGTATAACTATTTACATTTTTATTACAAATTTTGAGGTTATGTCAAGAAACTATATTTCAGAATATTTTTTTTATTAATTTGTTGATGATTATACTTATTGCTGATATATAATATAAACACCTCAAATACTCTATTTAAATACGTATAAACAAATATACATAAATACCTAACTACATAAATAATTACATTCTCATTTTCAAGATATAAATTTCCCCATCGTCCATCTGGAATCGCTTGCTATTATTAAGAATTAATTTACTTGCCACTTCGTAATAATTTTCCGTGGTGATTAAAAAATTTATATTATTCACGTAATAATTTTCCAAAAGTAGTGATTAAAAAAAGCATATTAATATATTTGTATCAAAACAGAAACACCGAATGACAGTTGACAATTGAAAGTAAATGTCATGGATAAAATCATTAATAGAATCATAGATTCAATAAACTAAATGGATAGTTTAAAAATAATTAATTTTGAATTAGAATGAAATAAAGGGATAAAAAGTATACTATGTCCTTCTCCTGGCTCTAAACTACCTCCCTGCCAATTTTCATCTAAATCGGTCCAGCCGTTCGTGAGTTATAAGTGGTAGCACATAAGGCGTTCCTCTTTTATATATATAGATATATATATATATATGTATATATATATATATATATTTATTAGTCATAAAACAAATTCCAACGCGTCGAATAAAAACAATAATTTTTATTATTGATTATTTTTATTCGCCGTATAAGCTTGTGACTAACATATTATTTACCTATTCTCCATGGAAATCCTTTATATTGATTATATACTTTTAATACTTAAAAATATTGAAATCTTGAAAGTTTATCATACATTGAAATATGTTAGTCACAAGCTTATACGGCAAATAAAAAGAATCAATGATAATAATTATTGTTTTTATTCGACGCGTTGGATTTTGTTTTATGACTAATAAATATACATATATACAAGATATAAATGAATTTTGGTCTCTTTCAAAGTGAACTTATTGGACGTTTTTCTACCTGAAAATCACCAGTACCAGCTGAAAATTAGTATATCGTATTTTTTCCAAAAGACCTATAAAATGGTATGAAAATCATTAAAATACCAGGGTGTGGTCGATTCCGTATGGTTACACGCTCATACACTTATGTGCAAAATATCAGGTAATAACTAGAGACACAGAAACTAGAAAAACCCATCCGACATTGCATTCATAATCAAAGCCGACTCTGCGTGGTATACAAAATGTGAAAAAATTCTTTTTGTTTATTATTGGTTAATATTTTCAAAACAATATTTAAATTTTTGGGATTACGCAGTTGCTACTTTCGTTAGATTCTTTCAGAATTTCTCGATCAACTCGATCGTGTAATTTGTGGTTGCAAATAAGATAACTCCAGTTAACAATAAAAATACAAGATTTGTCGTGAAAAGGTGAAAGAGCAATTATATTTTGAAAGCAGTTGCTAGATATTTCACATGGTAATATTACAGTTGGCACTGCAATAATATTTTAATATTAATAATATTTTCCACGCACACGTACACGCACACAACATTGCCAAAAAAAACATGGGTTTATAATTTATATCCAGAATAGTTGCTCATCTGTAAATCAGTCGATGCTTCTATCCTATAAATAAATCTTTAAATTATTTGCAAGTGCCTTTATTTTTACCACATAATTATTGTTTCAAAGGGTAGTTATCGCAAAAAATCGAAAATGCAATTTTTTATATAAATTTACATTTCAAAGGTTTCTGAACATCTTGGCATACCATAGAAAAAGTAGATGTATGTGTGCGCGTGTGTGTGTGTTTTTTGTATAGCGAAGGAAATGCCTCTACGGATCCTAGACTGGTCTTTTGTCTAGGTAAGTCGGATTTAATACCACCTGTTCAAATTCGGTTAGGTATGTCGGATTCAATACCACCTATTCAATACCGACTAAAACCACCGCTTTGCCCTTGCCTTTGCTCCCCATAGAAAATGCCGTTAGGCAATACTTTGTGAGGGGAGGATCCAGAATGTTATTATTCTTACTTTGATTTTATACTTATCTTTTAAATGAGCAAAGTCTCATTCGGCTGTGCTCATTTCGACGCAGGTCAATTAGAACATCTCTCGCAAATCTGTCTATGGCGTTCCAAGCAGCCTTTGTTGTCAGCATCACATCTACAATAGTATCTGGAGTAATTCTTCGCTTCAATATCTCTTCTACATCGTCTCGTGGAGCACCAAATCGCGGGCACACGAAGAACACATGCTCAGTATATTCGATTTTGCCCAAACAATATGGACAGTCTGGCAAGCTATCGCAATTGAAGCAACCGTGCCCAGATAGCATTAGCAGAATATAATAATTCAATGCTCCACGCTTTTGATTTAGCCGACATCCAAAGTTGCTGCCATCCGTCAATGCTGCTCTGCCGTTCTTAGGCAACTTTTCAGGACTCAGTTGTTGAAGTCTTTGTTGGTAAATGATCCGTCTATCCTCTGATAAAACTAAGAAAGGTTCTGAAATAACGCACACTGCTTTCTCCGATATTGTGCTAAATGCGAAAGCAACTCTTAAAGCACTCAGACGATAGATAGGTCCTGCCATTCTCCTCGAATATGGCTACATTGTCTGCATATGCTACTAGTTTCACTCAAGCTAAAATCTCAAGTCTCAAAAGGCCATCATGAAAAATATTAAACAGCAAGCAATTTAACAGCAAAAGGCCTAGAATAGAACCCTGCGGGACACCTCCTGTTATATTATATCCTTTTGTACCATCGCGTGAATTGTACATTAGAATTCTGTCTGTAAAGTAGTCTGTGACTATATTGCAGAGATATACTGGCAAGTTCTTGTCACGGAATGCATTCCCAGTTAGCAGAACTGAAAGCATTTTTGATATCTAATGTGGCTACTAGACAATACATATCGCACCACTCTTCTATCTAGTTCCAGCAATTGCTTTTTTGGTGGTATTAATTACCTAGGTTGTAGCATCGATAGTTGATCCCTTTTGCGAAAACCATGCTGATTGTCGGCTAGGAGTGAGTCAACTGTTGCATCTATTCTTTGGTGAATTATTCTTTCAAAAAATTTACTCGCTGTATCCAGCATGCATATCGGACTGTAGGATATTGGTTCATTTGGTGATTCATCTGGTGGTTTTCTTTCTTTGGGAAGAAGCACTAATCTTTGCTGTTTCCTTTTCGTAGAAAACCCCTTTCTTTAACTTCCCGTAGGGCAAGTTATAGTAATCGTAAAAAATCGAGAATGAAAATTTTTTAGAAACCCACCCAAACCCAATAGTTGCAGACATCTTACTACCGCATGACAATAGAAGACTGAAAATGATATGACCATTCGATTTTATGTAAACTAAGTAAGATATATCACTGGATTATCTTATATAATATTATACTTATTTAAATGTACAGTTCAGCTCATAGAAATTATTCTTGTATTTCTGATTGCTAAAATAAAGTGAAATAAAAAAAACAATCCTGATTTATTTACACTAGCAATAGCAATTACAAATTTGGTGATTTCTTTAAAGAAACTGTCAAAAATTTAATATAAAGTTGTTTGATTCTAATTTTGAAGTTATTAATATAGCATAAACAATAACTTACCATTTTCTCGCCGCATGCAGTGCCATCTGCTGGAGGAATGTGAGTTTCAATGCACCCGACATTATCAATATAACAGTTCAAACTATCGCACGTCTGAAAATTATAATAAAACGTGGGTAAATAAAGCTATTCAACACTAATTATTATCATTTCTATTCATAGTACCTATAAAGTTACATTATTCTCCATATGTATGTTTTTTGTATATACCAAGATATTCTTAGTAAAATTAATATTAACTGTGTAATGTATTTTTTAATTATTTGTAGTATTCAACACAATTTATTATATACGTATTTATAACGCAACAATTTGATATAATTGTAGAATATAAGTAAATATAATTATTGCCCCTTTTAACAAAACTTTTTCAAAGGCGCCAGCAGACGTACCCTAACTTTTGAACACTATCATTTGGTAACACCTCTTTAAAATTAAAAATACAATATCAAACAATCATGTTCCTAAGCAACCTTTTTTTACCTCCGACTAAGAGGCTCAAGCACTTAGGTAAGTATTTTTATGTTTAATTTTTGTCATTAAAATTATTTCATAATATAATTCATTTCATTTTATTCATAATACATTTGAGAACACTATACCAAATATATAACTATATTTTTGGAAAATAATCTAGGTATTTATTATAAGATTAAATAGAGATACTGGTATATAACTAGCTCATGATTTCTATTCTATTATCCATTTTGAAAACTCAGCTATTATAATTTAATAACTGCTTTTCGAGAAACTAATCGATTAAGTACTAATTTATTTCATAAGTATAAGTTTTTTTATTATTTATGGTCTCGCAAATAACACAAGTTGATTTAACCTTGAAGTACTTTTTAAAGTATTTTTGCAAATTGCAAAAAAAAAGAAATGAAAGAAATGTTCCTAATTTGTACTCACCACACCTGTATCGCACATTTGCGCATGCTTATTATTCGTTATTTGTTTACATTGATAGTCTCCGTCGTACATCACGCCCGGCAATAGAAAGGCAAAAGGAAAATCATGTTCTCCTGGTTCGTCAATTAAGCAATCTCCATACATATTACTTTTCAATACAAAAACAAATAAATGTTACAATACATACTAAAAAAGAAAAATTTATTTAACATAACAATGAACATTCATCACTTACTCTATGAATATTTTAAAATATTCTACACTGCAATTTGACCAACTTTCTGTATGCACAGAAATGTTAGGAGCCATAACACGATTAAATCCTCGTTTGTCTGTTGGCAAGCATCCAGAGTCTTTTGGACCATCATGAGACATACCTAAACTGAAAATAAGCGAACATACTCCGATTTGAAATAAGCCCCGGAACTCGCATAGTACAGAAGTCGTAGCAGAAATTACCTAACTTCACTCACATTTTTGTTCAAATAAAAATATCATTTTTCTTTTTACATTATACAAAATATTATAAAAAATTCATGGTGTTGACAAGTTAGTTGTATAAATGTTAGTGCTAATTTCTAGTGTTGTGTACACTTCTCTAGATGTAACCTACCAACGTTAATATCCACTGATGATGATATTAAATTGAATTTCGAAACGTTTGGAATTAAAGATTAATTTATAAATGTTTGCTTTTTATTCTTTGATGTATCGCCCCCACAAGAACATACAAAATACTCATATATATATATATATATATATATATATATATATATATATATATTACCTATGGCCTACTTCATGTGCCATTATTACGCCCACTTTTGGTCCAACATCTATGCAAACTGCGCATGATGTATTTGGATCACAAGCTCCACCTAGACGAGTCAATCCCAGAAATCCGCAGTTATGGGGATTTGTACATATATTTACTCTAAATTTGCAAGGATAAGTTATGATATAAGTTTAATATTCAAAATAATCAGTATTATAATTACTTAACCTTGTCAGAAATATAGCTAAGTCGTGATGATTGGGATGATTATCATCACCTGGATTCATGGACTTTTGCCATGGACAGAATGCATCCAAAATATTTGAAGGATCTGCTGACGAAGTCATCGTAATCTAATTCAAATGAAGCATCTAATAAACAAAATGATGTCAATGGGTTTAAATAACAGTCTCGTTTATACCTACCCGTTTATCAGGTACATCTAAGCGAATCATCCTGACAACTACTAATTCAAGCGGCATTGTAAATGTATTATCATCAAATAAACTTGCAGCCTAATTTATAAATATATAAATAAATTTGAAGTGTCTGTATTTTATATTGAAATAGCCGTTTTTCACTACATGAATACGAATATAAATACTATGTATATACTAAAATTTTTTCTTTTTTTTCTTATTCGAACGAATCTCTGAAACGACCAGTCCGATTGTGATGGAAATTTTACTAGAAGGAAGGTAGCTGAAGGGCGTAACTTAACCTACCTCATTTGGTCATTGCTTTATCTTATCATAATTTTATTTGAAATATTCTAAATAACTATGATGCGTTTTTTTATCTTATATTTTATAATTCTTATCTTGATTTCATTAAAAATTTTACTTTTCACTATTTTCTTTCAATTAGGTAAGAATGATTAATCTTTCTGAGAGTAAAATATCTTACCATGATAGTATGACAGTCATAAAGCAATTCGACGATGCTGAGTCTAAAAATATGACTTATTTTATTTTATTCTTTCATAAGCTTTTTTATAGAATTTTCCAGGGTGAACAGACTGATTCCATAGTAAATCCAACAGTTGTCAGACATCATGTGGTCTCACCTCCTTTGATATCGCCTTTCCGAAGTCCTGATGTTATTGTGGATTATCTCGACTGACCCCCTAATTTTCTTCTCGCCTTTATTCATAAAAATTATGAACCGTGGATTTTTTTATAAATTGCCTAATTTTGAGATCATTGAATATATCAGTTTTCATGTCTTACTGTTTTTTTAGCGTTGGTCTCCTAATCCATTGAGGTTGATCATCATTAGCATGGGTAGGGGTCATGAAGGTAATCGTAAGTAGACCTGAGGTCTGCGTACTTTATGATGGTGATTCTTCTTCCTCCACTCGAACATTTTTCTGCGCCTTTAAGTACCTCATTGACGCGCCACTTTTCTTACAGGTATAATATGATTGGTGACATGAAGCGCCCAATCCGCACTCTTCTACCTATTTTAAAGTACTTTGTATCTTCTTGATTCACTTAAACTTTTACTTTCTGTCTTATATACAATTTCTGGATCAGCCTGCGGTCTCTCCGATCAAAAGCAATGAATTTTAAAATTCCTTTAAATGTACTCCAGTTGACTCAGTCAAAAGCTTTCAGCCAATTTATAAAACAGAATTTGATTTGACAAGAGATTTGCCGACATTAATCTCAATATTCCAAAAGCGTCTTTTGTGTTTCTTCCTTTTTTGAAACCAAAGTGAAATTTGTTCATGTGTTATTATCGAGTCTCGTAAAGATCTTGGCCAGAAACTTTCCTGTGTGCAAAGTTAAACGGATCGTCATGTGGTCTCTGCGCTTGTTTGTTTCACGCATTCACTGAAAGGTTAACATGGTAACATCCAGGAAGTCCTTTGGCCATTTGTCCATTTGGTATATTTTTACTATACATACTCGGATCAGTATGCAATTTCTGTGCTCATCCATTTTCTTTATCATAGCCTGGGTTATTCACAGCATTTTTTATTGTTTATTTATTGACTTTGTATATGCGTATATTAGTCATATACATTTTATAAGTTATCTTTACACTTTTATTTTATTTGTATGTAGGGGAAAGTCTTGTAATGCCGGACGGCACCAAAACCGGACACTCTATTTAACACGTATAATTTAAGCGAGTATAAATCTTTTCATTTCAAAATACAAGTGAAAGAGGCATGGGGGGCACACAGGTACATGATCACGCGCAAAGCCTTGCCTGTGACACACACGGCCACGGCGAGAGCAAACCTTTCCTGTTTTAGGCGCAAACTCACGGCGCCACCTAGGGAATGCAATACCGATGGAAAATTTCAATACCGGTATTTCGGTATTTTTTTATTTTAAAACCGGAATACCGGTAAATTACCGGTATTTTTATTATCTTAAACAAACGTAAACAAAGTTGAAAGTTACTAAATATAAAAAGTTACTAAATATAAAAAAATGTAAATACAACCACAACTACATGTATATTAAACTAAACAATAAAAACACTAAAATAGAACAATAAGTTTATTTTTTTAATAATAATTTAACAAAGTTATATCGAATTTAATTAATTAACTCATGATCGAGTATATTGAGCACTTTTTACCAAAATTAAACGTATGAGTAAGAAAGACCAAAAACTCATAAAAGATCATATTACATTATCTTAATGAACTAGGCTGAATAAACTTGGCTAAATTAGTATAATCTCCAAAATTTTAAAAAAAATTTATATTATAATTTTTATAATAATAAGTTACTATAATTGTTGAGTATTTTTATTTAAAACAATGTGATGGTTCTATAGTATTTTCAAGCTTGGAAACGTTTTCGAAAAATAATATTTTATAATTGTAATAAGAAGCAAAAATATTTAGCAAATATGATAATTATTATGTATGAAGTTAGAAAAAATAAAAATTACGCAGGGGAAATCTGTATGATATGAAATATTTTAGCGCAAATGTCACTTAAAAAACCATTAAATATTTACATAAGATGAAAAAAAAACATCATTATCTATCAATCCAATTCTATTCATTGTAACACGATATGGAGCCCTTAGTAAAGCAGTGAATATTTAGTTTAACGACGAGTTGAGATAATATTTGACATTTGTGTATCCTATAGAATCATTTAAAGATATAGCTGTTTATGCGATTATGGAATTTAAAGAGAATTTGTTCCAAAAAATTTAAACTTTAGTGTGTATTATGTATCAAATAGCGCTTATGTAAAATTACCGAGAATACCGGTATTTTTGGGGCAAATACCGGTAAAAATACCGCCAAAAAATCGGGCGGTTTACCGGTAATTCGGTATACCAAAGTGTTGAGATGGCTGCATATGTGATCAATGCAGGTTATTTTGAAATGTCCGGTACTAGGTGCCACTGTTTAAAAGCATATTTTTGATACCAAAGTTTGATTGATGGTATTAATTATTTTTCAGCAAAAATTGCGGTTTTGTTAATTTAGTTTGATTTTTAACTTTGTTACCTAACATAAATCATAATTTAATACACATTTCGTTAAAAAAATTTGGTTTATTTATAAATAACCTTAGGTATATAACTAGGGGACTTTCCCCTATATAATTATATAGCGCACCATATATTATTTTATTTATCAATAATGTTATAAAATTGGTTAGGAGGGAAATTATCCACAGCATTCTAACTACTTTTTATAGATCTTTGGCGTTATCTTCCAGCGTTCTCAGAAGTGAAGTTTTTGTCTTATTCGAATTTTCTTCTATAGTTTTTTCGTCATCTTTATTTTATTACAAATAAATTATCGGAGTCGTCTATATCGGCCACTAGAAAAGTTTTAATGTCATTCACGCTATTTTTGAATCTGTTTTTGATGATGAAGTCAATTTGATAGCATCCGTTGTTTTCTGGATTTTTTCAAGTATACAACTTTGTCCTCCGCTCTTCGAACCATGTGATTGTGATCATCAGATTGTTTGTATGATAGAACTTGATCAAAATAATTTTTCTGTCGTTCCTTCTGCTCAATCCGTATCTTCCGAGTAGCTTTCTAAGTACTCAATTGAAATAGTATGTGATCATTACGGTAAGCTTTTTTTTGCCTCCCTGAGACAACATCTCGTCTATCTACTCCATCTCTGCGTCGTCGTGGCTCGATGCCAGCATGTACACCTGTAATACCATCACGTCCATCGGATCCGCTTTTAGTTCCACACTCATCAAAGAATCATTCACACAGTTACCATGACTGCTTCTTCCCTTTCGGATTTATCATCTTCAGAGTGATGCATTGTGAAATCGTTTTACCCGCAGTTTTGTTGCTACTTTCGATGGCTTTACCTTTCAGAGTTTCCACCCAGAGATACAAACGACAAATCATTTTAAATCCGAAATTTGCAGAATTTTCTTACTCCTACTGCGGGAACAATTAATGTGGTAATATTCTTCTTTGCCTTTCCTCATTGCTGCGTCCAAACCCCGAACCCGTCATTAAGGCCACGCTCAAAACTTTTGGATCTGAAGTCATCTCAAGCACTATGCCTTTAGTCAACACTAGTGTCATTACTGCACAACATCAGCCAACTCGATTAGCCGATTTCGCTACTTTTTAACTATTCATATAAATGTTGCTCTCTTCATCCATGATGTGCTGTTCTTCAATATTCTGGGACTATACGCATGATTTTGATGAAGTTTGATATCATAAAATTTTGTATAAAATTAAAAAACATCTCTCAAATAGTAATATTGCCAGAGTACAAAGAAAATTGTCAACCAACGCAATTCAGCAAACATAAACATTTAATTAAATTTTAGAAAATAATTTTATTTAATCTTAATGTAAAATAATCCTTGTTCTTCCAAATTCGTGTTAATGTTAAATCTTTCATACTAAACCTATCAAACAGTTTTTTCTTTAACAGATTAATTACAATAAATAAATATCATATAAGATTGAAAAAGCGCAAATAATTTGTCAATTTACACGAGGAAAAGCAGTATTTTATAATATGAAAAAATTAATAATATAGCATAAGCATATTATAAACTAAACTGCAAAATATTTACCATATTGAAAATCATTAACGCGTAATTTTCAACATCCGTGTCCTGATGAAATTCTAGTAACGGTGTGTCTAAAACCAATAGCACTTCACAGTATAGTTGCTCTCTATCAGGCTCTAGCGCTGGCTCTGAAATGGGTCTTGGTAAATTTGTGTCAAACTTTATTACAATATTCACTCGACTTGTTGTAACACAATAAATTACTTTGAGTTTCTAAATCGTCATCAAGAGATATTACATCTTTTTTTAAACTTCGTAGTCCTGGAAGTGAGTGCGCTGCGTTTATTAGTTTATTTCTTATGGTGTCAGAAAACAAAGCGTTGCGCTTCCGGCGTATAAAGCGTAGTGACAATTGATGAGCAACGTCCGCTAAAAATAAAATTTATGCCAATTTTTACATGTAAATATTTAAGTACCTACTATCCCTCTTTTTGTGAGACAGATAGTTAAATCCGGGCGAAAGTTAATATTTACTACTCTTATGTTAAATTAGTGAACTTTTCATAAGGTTTATATTTTGAAATCAATATCAATAATTAAGAAATCTTGCAAAGGGTTCTTGCCTGATATTTGAATATTTAATGTTGTTTAAATAAATATTAATTATTTAAATTGTTTAAAGATAAGAGAAGATACTTAATATAATATGGACTTGCGGTGCATGGCATTCTGCTTTAAAAAAAATATCGTATATTATTACGTAACTTAACGTAATATTATTGAACATTGGAGTAATGAAAATAATCCAAAATAAATACAACAAAAAACTTATAAATGATTAACTACAATTATTTAAAACATTTTCAGACAGATTATTAGCTAATCATCTAGTTGATTTTTGAATCATTCAAATCGGTTAATCCATTATCTCTTTTAAATGAATTTAATTTTACCAAATAGCACACGTTGATCCAAACGATAATCCACCTATAACACTGAAAGTGTTGATACATTACGTCGAAAAATTGTTGTTGCAATATTAACTGTTATATTATTAGTGTGCATTGCCTGTCAGGTGTAACAATTAACCACCGTGAATGTTCTGATGATTATACATTGATTATAAATGTATATTTTTCACATTCAAGTGAATAATGTGTAAAATAACTTCTGAAAACGTTATTTGTGTGGACACAGACATATTATTGATAATTCTAGGTAACATAAATGCGATACTAATCAAAATATATATATATATATATATATATATATATATATATACTCGTATATATATATATATATATAACAATAATATTAATAATAATAATAATAAATGGTAGTCTGCCTAAAGGCAGGTCCATAGTGTGAAAACCACCACAAATAAATGATTCCCTTACCCTTCGTCTATCATTTCCATTACCACTATTTTCCCTCTCCCCTTTTTTCACGTATTTTTCTTTGTGCTTCTTGATCCTGTGCTTCGGTTTTCAGTTCCCTCTATTTTCTCTGCATTCAATCATCTGCAATCTTCTTCTTTCCATTTCTTTCATTTATACTATTTTACCCTCGACAATGTCTTGCAGAAAAGGATCGATCCAGATTCCTTTTCCTCTCAGGATTGTGCTTAGTAGAATCTTTTCTTCGCCAACTCTTCTCAGGACTTCTTCATTTGTTATTTTGTTTGTCCACTTTATCTTCTCCATTTGCCTCCAGCACCACATTTCAAAACTCTCCAGGTAGTTTTTGTCGGCTTTTCTTAGAGTCCATATCAACGATCCGTACCGAGCAATGCTCCATATGTGGCACTTTATTAGTCTCTTCCGCAAGCCAAGACTTTGCTCGTCAGTTGCGTTCTCTTCATTGTGAACGTTGTCTTGGCGCTTGCGATCCTTCTCCTGATCTCTCTCGTGCTTTATCCGTCTCTGATCAGTATTATTCCCAGGTACTTGAAATGATCCACGTCTTCCAATTCTCGATCTCCTACCCTTATTCTCATTAGACTTGAAGCGGTTGTTAAATTAAAACTGTTTGATATAGTTTACTATTGTTTATTGTCGCAAAATATAGATACAATGTTTATATTGTATATGTTGGATCCCGATGGTAGAAACCTTTTTGTTTTGGTCTGTCCTCTTTTATACCAGACGCAGACGGCCGTCTTCATGCGTGCGCATCACAATGCATATAGGGCCGTACTAAATGCAGGGCGGCACTTAGGCGCCGCAGCACAGCCACCTACGGTGAAAACGAAAGATTATTAATGTTATCTGTAATTCTGAAATCGTATCAACCATCCTCGTCTTGTTATGTATTTTTCAGATGTGATGTGCTCTGCTGTTGTGCGTTCTTTGGCAGTGGTGTACGTAGGCTTCAGCCTGTCTTTAGAAAAGGATTTTGTCTGGCCCGAAACGTCCACTTTAAAAATCTTTTTTCCTCTTTCCAAAACCTTATAAGGTCCTTTATAAGGTTTCGTCAGAGTCGGCTTTATCATGGGTTGTCTGATAAAAACATGACTAATCTTGTTCAAATCTTTATGAACAAAACTCTTTCTCGGGCTATGAGATGAAGCGGGCTGTGGTTTTAAATTTCTAAAGATTTTATGCATGGCGGTAGTGGTTGTTATGTCAATGTGATCTTTAAGTCACGCCGTATATTTGGCCAAACAAAGCGTTTCGTCACCATTTAGACTGTTGCTCTAACTGAAAGATATTCTTTCTTAAAGCTTCTGGAACAATAGGTCTCGGGAAATGCTGTGATATGTCACAAAATATATGTTGTGCGTAATTCCTGACATGGCTTGGCTTTCGCTCTAATAAACTTTCTTTTGAAAGATAATTTTTTAGTTTTTAATGAATAATGTTTGTAAGACTGCTAACTGATTCGATTATAAAAAATGTATCAGCGGTTATGTTTTTTGCTCCGCTAATGTGCATAACATCGGTTGTAAATTGAGAAATAAAAGTGACTATATTTAATTGTATTGGAGGTAGGCGTTCCTGTTTTTGTAGAAAAATATAGGTTAATGGTTTGTGATCTGTAAATTCCGGCCTTCTAGCATCTGTTTAAAATATTTCAAAGATGTATAACCGGCTAATAATTCTCTATAAAATGCGAACTATTCTTGTTGCTTTTCGATCAGCCTCTTGGAAAAATATTCGAGTGGTTCCAGGCTATTATTCACTCGTTGTTATTTGACTGCGCCAATGCATATGTTTGAAGCATTTGTGAACATTGCGAGTTACGCCTCTGGCTTTGGATGTGCTAATAAAGCAGCTGCTACTAGATTAGCTTTACACTTTTCGAATGCTTGGTATTGTGCACACACTATGCGAATTACAATTCTGCTTGGTATTGTGCAGCGTTTGAACAAGATCTGTGATAATAATTAATCATACACAGAAGAGATTTGATGGTAAGTCGTTTCGGGAAAACTCGTAGTGAACTCATTCTCTCGATTGGTGGTTTAGTGCCAAGTTCTGTTATATGACTACGACTGTCAGTCGTTGGAACAGACAACAAATATGTTGCTTGTGTTCTTCCTGGTTTTTATATGAAACCAAAATATCATGGACGTATGGAAAACAGTAGTCCAAGTCTTAAGTCACTTCAACCATGAAGAGAAACTCAAATAATCCAAACGGTGTTGTATTGGCGGTTTTCTATGTCTTCTATGTACCATATACTGGTATTTGTTGGTATGCTTTTTTTAAATCAATTATCGAAAAAAATTACAGCCTATCAATAAATTTGGATATCTATCAGGAATGGCTCTATTATTCAGTATTCTAAAATCTCCACAGGGTCTTCATGCATCATCTTTTTTTTTGGCGAGATGCAATGGTGAAAACCAAGGGCTATTTGACGGTCGTACTGTTCCTAGCTGCATCATGTTCTGGAATTCTTGCTTAGCTATTTTTAACATTTCTGCGCTCAATGGACGAGGTCGCGATCTGACAGGCGGTCCAGGAGTTGTTCTGATATAATGTACCGCCGTGTGCTTAATTTCTTGTAGTAGGCCAGGTAATTTAGTCAAATTTGGAAATTCTGACAGAATTTTGCTAAATCTGCATGTCATGATGACCGTTTTGATGCTTTCCTGTTGGATAGTGCTTCTGCAAACTGTCTGTGTCGTAAATTAGTTGTTGACTTGATGTCAACGTTGAGTCCATAATGCGTCAGGAAATCTGCACCCAAGATTGGTGTTGAAAGATCAGCAATGATGAAGTTCCAAATAAATTTTCTTCTGAGATTTAGATTTAATTGTAATTTTATATCTCCATAAGTG